GGCTGAAACGGGCTGTCAGGAATGGGGGCAGCTTCTGATCTCTTCTCACAAGGGGCCACCCCTGCAGCCCCCTGCTCCCAAAACTGCCGTGTAAACCCAATATGGGTGTGCATTGCTAATAAAGTGGTATCTGTCAACTAGAGTCAAACCTCACCCTCTCTCCCAGTATCCTCTGTGAAGGGAAACACTTGTACTTTCATTTATATTAGCAGCACTGTGGAATGCAGTAGTTTGTAAAAAAAGTCCTTTTAGTTTATAAATCTGTAGTACATCTGCTTTTCAAATAGAGATTAGGTGAAATATTGCAACTCTTTATTAGCATTATCTGGCTATTAAGCAACAGTACTTAAAGAATCAGCACAATTTGTGCATTTTGTATATACTTAATCTGCAAAATCCCTCCAGAATCAAGAAATCCTGACCCAAAAATATAATGCATTGCCATCTGTTACCCTAGAAGGTGCTTTTTGGGCTTTGTTTAGATACCTGCATACAGGAGTTTGGTTTGCATTTGATTAAAACATTTCTTCCCTTACTCCTAGCTTATAGCAGTGTTTAAGACTTTCTGTGGAGCTTATCAGTTAGGCACGCAATTCCTGTTGAATCTGTAGATGATTGAATGTCCAGCTGCTTGAAATTAGATGGGTGTTAACTTTTATTTTCTCCTATAGTATGGCACGAAAGGAAGGTGAAAACTGAAATTCTGTTTGAAATGTCCTTGGATTTTATTTTGTGGATACACTCTGTGAATGCTGTCTTCTTGACGTTGGTATTGATTTCCCATATTTCCGTACTCTGATCTGTTTTTTACAAACTGAATTTTCCAGTGAAATGAATTTATAAACCTAGACAAAACTATTCAGGTGATGCCAAACTAAATTCACTGAAGGAAGAAGCACTTTCTATATGAGGAATTAAAATTGTCAGTATATTACAAGAATGCCTTCTAATTTTTATTCTCAAAAGAAAAGTTCACTTAGTCCACAAATTCTAGTTTTGGTAACTAGCATTTAGAAGGATACCTGGTTTGAGTTCTACAGGTATACATCTGGTATTCTAGACTTTGTCTGTTTTTCCCTGACCAGCCATCAGTACAAACACTCTAGGGTGTGATGGGTTAACCTGAACTGGACATCATCAGGTCGTGCAGTTGTGAGTAGTAGCATGTGTGAGGAGGAGAGAAGTAGCATTAGCTGGTGCAGCTCTGTGAAGGTGATTTGCGAAAACTTGTTCAAAGATAACTTTCAGTTGTAGGGTATCATGTATAATTTTTTCATGTAAAAAGAAATTACAAGGTAGGACATAACCCTTGGAGGCTGTCATGACCATGAATTCAGTTAATACATCTGTTTTTGTGTTTATTTCCCATATCCATTAACATGTTTTGTTCCTTTGCAATTTACAGCGCAGAACTCTGCAAATGCAGGTTTTGCAGACTTTGATGCATTTGGACAGTCTAGTGGCTCGAGTAATTTTGGAGGTTTCCCCACAGCAAGGCAGTCTTCTTTTCAGCCCCAAAATACAGGTAGAACTCCTAGCACTTTTGATTAATACTTAATTAAAATAATACCTTTATTGCTGGAAGGTACTTAAGTTGAGTTTTTCTTGCATCTGTCTGCTTTAATGCAATGAAGCCATCTGAAGCTCTGGGGAAACTCAAAATGAATTCCTTGTTTGTGGATTTTCTTTTTTTTTCCTAATGCTACTCAGAAGTCTGATTTATGGCACTATGTGTTTGTTGGCTCTACACCTGAAGTAACTATGAAAAGAGTAAACCGTACTGCTTTTGATAAATATTGAATTAACTTTATCTTGCAAGAGATGTTTCAGTAGACCCAAAAGCACATCACACAAAAAAAGTGTCTGTGTACGTATAATGTATGCACACACTTCAGTATGTTTGACTTCATGTGTAGAGCCTATTGCTGAGATTTATTTTGCTTTCCTTTAATTTGATCATGCTTTAGAACTTCTGCTTGAGCTTGTACTTGCTGTTTGTCTGGATCTTTGGCTGACTGACTTTCTTTTCTTTTTTTTTTTTTCTTTTGAGTGTGGTGTTGTTTTAAACTTTTTTTCAAATTTTCTTTCTCCCTTCTTATGTTAACTTTAACCCACACACAATTTCTGGCTGTCCAGCGTTCAGAACGCTTTCATCTAGCTGCAGTTTTGGTGAATTTACTTCAGCTTTTCCTCTCCAGGCTGTACACAGTAAGTTCCACGCAGTGGAAAACTCAGCTTGCTTCACTTTGTGCCATTGTAGTATAGCATTTCCATTCCTACTGTTGCATATGTCTTAATTTACTGATTATGCTGTTAGAAAGTTGTGTGTTCTGTAGGACGAGTGTAATCCTCAACCAACTGTTACAAAATGTGATACACTTAATGGAACAATTCATTTCAGTACCTGACCTGGCCAGATTAAATTGTCTGGACACTGTGGAAGCTCATGGTTTGACATTTGAACTGAAATTCAGTTGTGTGGACCTAAGTCAGATTTTAAAAATCTATTTATTTATCTCTGACATCAGTGGAGACTTGGTATAAAAAGAGCTGTGTTGTGTCTTCCCCCTCACCTCTTTCCTGGTTGGATGTAGTCTAAAAATCTGAGAACAGAGAGAAAGAAACTATCTCTCTAAACCTTGGCATGTAATCATACTACTTTTAGACTTCTAGGTATTGCTTTTTGCCTAGAACAATGACAGATATCTGAAATGCTTAAACTTTGTACTATTAAGTAAATGCAAATATTAGTATTCATTAGACACGTGATAGGAAAATGAAGCTTCTGTATTTGGAATAGTAAAGATTCAGACAAATATTTTTATAGCAAATATGATTATTGAGATTACTTCAGCAGCTAATAAATAACGTGTAGTTTTTCAAGATCAAATTATGACTGTGATTTAAGCTGTTGAAGTTTGGAGTTTTTTGTCCCTGGTCTGTGGACTGAAAAATATAAGATTGTTTTTTCTGATGACTCAATGTAACTTTGAAGGAAATGGGAAAGGGTCTTAAACCTGTGGGATGGGACGGGGAACATGTTGCCTCATATAACCACAAAGAGGTGGGATTATTGCGCAGTCAGGTACAGTTGGAGAAACTTTGTCTAGTTTTGGAGTGTTGATCATGTTAATTTAATTTGTTACAGGTGGAAGTGCTGGATCAGCAAATGCTAACTTTGCTCACTTTGATAACTTCCCCAAATCCTCCAGTGCTGATTTTGGAGCCTTCAATGCCTCTCAGAGCAACACAACAGCAACTGCAGCCAGCAAAGCTGCAGTGAACAAACCCCATCTCCAGTCAGCTGACAAATACGCAGCTCTGGCTAATTTAGACAATATCTTCAGCGCAGGGCAAGGTATTGAACTTTATTTTTTCATGTGCTTATTCTATGTGTGTGTACTTACCATAGTAAATAATTGTATTTCAACAATGTTGTTTCTTTAAGTTATCAGTAAAATTTCATGTCAGAAATGTCTTAATGTGCAAGATGTAAGTTTTAAAACTAACATCACTCCAAAAGGATGTCATCAGAAGACTGCTTTTAGGGAACCTACTTCCTATCAAGATTAATAACTCTAAGTGGAAATATATAAAAAATTATTACTGCAATTATGAAAATATATAACAGTAAAAATATATATTTTATTTGTGCTAAAACCTGTAGTGAAGGGTCTTGAATGGAGAGCTACAGTTGTTGCAGAGAACTGCCAGAGTAGTTTTCCTGCCTCTCTGCCACAAAAAGATTTGGCTTTAGTTTTTTATAAACTAGTAGCAGTGATACAGGAATTTAGCTGGTTTTAAGTTAAGGAGAAAAAACTGGTTTTTCTGTAACTGTTTTTCTTTTCAAATGGTGTATAAAAACTTGTGTTGGTTTATAATGTAGAGTTTTGTTCTGAATTTTATTATTTGAGAGTGTTTTCTTAAATTTTCTGTTTTAAGATGATGGTAGTGCAGAGTTGTCATTTTCTAGTGAAACCAGAGGCTCTTTGGAGCTGCAGAATATCTGTAGAAGCATGACTCATTGCTGATAGTTAATGGCTTGTTAAACATTTTTTTCTGTATGCTTTAGTCCATATTTATTTTTTAAGTCCGAAACTTAAACTGGCCATGAACTTTTATTTAGTTCTCAGTGTTAGCAGGGCAGAAAGTGAAACCATCTTCATCACTCTTAATCTGATTTCTTTCTTTCTAGGTGGTGGTGAGCAAGGAAGTGGCTTTAGTACAGTAGTGCCAGCATCAGCAGGTCCTGCGTTGTCAGCCCCAAGTCAGTTGAGTGCATCTTCAGACAAGTATGCAGCTCTAGCAGAGTTAGACAGCGTGTTCAGCTCCACAGCAACCTCTAGTAACGCGTATACTTCCACCAGTAATGTTAGCAGGTACTTTGTTAGAATTAGCAGACTTTCTACATTGACTTCAGCAATATGCAGAAAAGTAGCTCAAATCTGGTTTTATTTCTTATCTAAATGGGAAAACGTTGAATGAGTTTAGAGGTACTACTGAAGCTACATCCTTTGTTTTTAATAATAGCAGCACCATCTGATAGGCTATTATAAGATAAAATTAAGGATTCTTTCTGTCAGCAGAATGTTCTTTGCACCTTTCTAGTCATTACATGCTACACCTGTTAGATGGTAACATTTTTCCTGTACAGAGTACTTGCATGCATACTTAAAATCGTAGCATCATTCCTGGCAAAAAAAATTATTCAGATATTTATAATATATATGGTACCAGCCACTTCTTTTTTAGATCATTAAAGTAATAAATACCAAATGCCTGTTATAGCTCTGCTTGGTATTGCAAGTGCCCCTAAAGCTTCTGCTTTGCAACCTTTACGCTGATGGCCTCTGTTAAGTATTCTTTCTTCTCCTTTTGGTGAAGGTGACTTTTCATTGCTTGGCACTGGTTACAGTCTCTGACCCTGGCATCAGGGGCTGAGTTCCTGACGCCAGTAATTATATTGCAGTTTGCAAACTGCACCTAAGCATTCCTTTTCTGTTCTTTTACATGCCAACAATAATTGTAAGTTGTATTTAATTGTTAAAAAAAGCAATTCTGACTTCACTGAATGTATGAATTATTTTCAGCAATGCTTTTGGAACAGTACCCGTGGCTGCTACTGCACAGACACAGCCTGCATCTTCAAGTGTGCCTGCTCCATTTGGAGGTATATAAGTGTTACTAACACCTTTTGTGGACTGTAAGCAAACATCTTATTAATAAGTTGATAGTGACAACTTTGACACTAGTGATATTGAAGTTACTAAAGGATGCCAAAAAAGTACTGTGGCGATGCATTTCAAATTAAGCAATTCCTAATTTTTCATGTAATTTTGGATAAATATATATCTCTCTATAAAAGCTGTATAAACTTAATGTGAGTCAGACTGGCTATTTTTAGAAGACTTGATTAAATAAAATATTTTTAATCTTTTGTCTTTCAGCAACACCTTCCACAAATCCATTTGTAGCTGCCCCTGTTGCCCCAGTGGCACCTTCAACAAATCCATTCCAGACCAATAGCCGAGGAGCAACAGGTGAGGAAAAAAACACCAAGTATTTGAGAAACTTTCTTTCAAGACTTGCATTGATTCTTTTTTTCATAGCTCTGTAATTTGTTCCTTAAGGATTTTCTGTATTATCTGTCTCTAGTCTATTTGACATGTGTGTTCAATGTGTAGAGTACAAGATGTATGAATAGGCTGCAAAAATCAACTTCACGTTTTTTTTTAGATAAGTGATATTTTTTGTTGGGCTGAGGACATTATTTTCCTATTTCTGGCCCGATCCTAGGATTTCAAGTAGTGGCTATGAAAAATGTCAAAATGATCTGTTAAAGATCTTCTGGTACTACCCAAGCTGTTTGTAGTCTGTGTATTACCAGCTGGGTACCTTCCAAGACTATAACCTTGGTTTTGAAGCATGCTTCATAGGAGGTTGCCCTGAAGTTAGTGATCTTGAAAGCCCTGCTGCTGAGCTGGTACGCTTGCTTTTTTAATCCTTCATTTCAAAGTCCTAAAAGCCCTCAAAACCAAAGAGCTGGAGTTAGAAGCAGGAAGGACAAGGCTTTTGGGCTCCTCACCCACTTACTCAATACATTGGTGGTGTCCTTTATTTTTCTCTTTTGTGACAGTAAAGCGTATGTTTGAATATAATCTTTACACTCATGAATTACATTCATTTTCCAGGGGAATGGGGGGATGATGGGGTCTGTTGAATCATAATTCCATAGACAAAAACTTGTACTTTTCATTAAAACACATAACTTGTATTTATGACTGCTAGATTATGCTAATTTTCCTCTCCAAACGCACTGCTAAATTGTGGCACTTCTGTCTATTAACTGGACTTCCACAGTTTTTAAATCTGCTGATGCATGCTTTTTAACATTGAGATTTGCTTTGGTCAAAGTTTTAGGTAGGTTGAATTAAACTGATCAGGCTGAATTAAAACTGAATTGATCACATTCATGTCCTCTGCTAAAATGAATTCTGTTTTCAGTCCCTTTTGAGATATTATGCAGGTAAACTTGTTCAGCTATTTAATGCCAAAGTATCTTTTTCTTTATTTTAATCTCATTCCTAATTGCTGTTTGGATCATCGTTAAGAACTTGCCTCTTTAGATAATTTGTTTGAATGTAGCAACTCTCCTTCCACCTTCTAAACTGGTGTCCTTGGCTTGCGGAGGTTCCAGCCCTATGGCAGCTATACTGATGTTTATATACTAGGTGACCGAGATAATCACTATAAGTCAAGATAATATTCTATCACTTTCAGTGTAAGGTGTAAACTTGTAGCTCGTCCTTTTATGCTAAACTTTCTTTCTGGATGAACTTTGCTATTTATTACATGGGAGACCTGTTTTGTAGCACTTATTTTTAATGTTTTTCTTAGCTTAATCTATTGCTGGTCATGCTATGGACGAATTGTTTGGTACATGTGTATATTTATATATATATACATATAACTGAGAAATGACTGCAAGAGTGTATAAATGATTTGACGTTGTCTGGTCTCTTTGTGGCTTCCATAAGGCCTCTCGGGAGCAATGCACTCTCACATATTTCCTCAGGCTCATTTTGGTAGGTGGCCACATTTGGTATCAAGTTTCTTGTGGCTAATTGTTCTTGCTTGTAAAAGCTTATTGATAGCTATCTGGTTCTCTGCATGTAGTATTTTGGAAGACTTTCATTTTTTCAAATGGAGTGGGTGTGGGTATTTGGCAATTGGGTGAAGGGAGAGAAGAGCATACATAGACAACCTATTCAGCAACTAAAACAAAACCATTATTGATATCCTCCATGGTCACAATATAATGCTAACAAGTTGAGTGACTCTTGAAGTTTCTACCAACAGTAGCTTGATGCTTTTGGGATATCCCAAGTCACTGCTCATTTTGTTGTGCTTTCGTTTGCTGTTTTATCAGGTTTTCCTGTTGAATAGCTTCTCTGCTAACTTGAGAACAATGTTAGTATGTTAGTTTTGCGTGTACTCTGTGAACAGTTTGTGTATGTATAATGTCGTGCCCTTGAACACTTTTGGGGTACATTTTTCAACTGATAATTAAGCTGTATTCATTAAATATATACTTTTTTTAAAGAGCTTGCATAAAATCTAACTTGTAACATTTCAAAAGAAAAGTCCTGTCTAATGTTTAACTAGAATAAAATGCCTAGTGTCTGTTATTTGTACCCAAAAACCTTCTATATGCTTCTCCTTTCAAGAATAACTCCCAAAAGAATGAATAATGGTTTTGTTACTACATTTTCACATTTGATGTGCTTCTGTTTATTTGCTGAAGGCATGTGGAATTGCATATGAGCTGTGTGTTCTTTATTTGAAAGGTTCAGCAGAGAATCAGATTGAAAGTTTTGGTGGTTTTTTTTTTTTTTGTTTTAAGTCTTACCCAAACAGTAAGAGCGTTTGCAATAGGAACTTTGTGTGCGAATAATGTGCATGGTGAAAATTTCCTTTAAAGTGACTTTAAGGATGGAATGAAGAGAGATACATGGGATGCATGTATCCCTTATGATTTTGGTTTTTTGACTTGTAACTTCCTGTAATGCAGCTTGAAGTAGGAAGATCCTTTCAAGCTTTACTCAGAAAGGCTTATGCTGCCTGAAGGTGCTTGCTTCTGATGTGTACAGACTTGTACCAGAAAACCTCTGGGGAAAGTATATGGTAACATAGAGAACGTAAAAAATAATTTACTTTTAAGAAAGTGTGTCTGAATGTGCTGGATCTAGTAAATTTTAAATGATTCTATTAATTTTTAAAGTGCGAAAGTAAATTATTCACCCAGTTGGTGGTGATCCAAGCTAACAAATCAGTCCAGTGGCTGTAGAAGTTGAACCTAACTTTTGTATGGTCACTGCGGCATTAGGAGACTTTTCCTAACATGGCTTTATAGTAGTTTGTCTTATGAAAAAAGTGATTTCGTACTAATAAACTAGTGTTATTTTTTGCCTACCAGCAGCAACATTTGGTACTGCATCCATGAGCATGCCTGCAGGATTTGGAACTCCTGCCTCCTACAGTCTTCCTACTAGTTTTAGTGGCAACTTCCAGCAGCCCACGTTCCCAACCCAGGCAGCTTTCCCTCAACAGACTGCTTTTGCTCAGCAGCCAAATGGTAGGTCTATATGTTTTAGATAATCTTGTTTAAATCAGAAACATGGAGAAAATGATCTGTCTGTAAGTTAGCAATAATGGGTGCATGCTTATTTTTTATATGAACTTGATATTAATAGTGATGAGGGGTTCCCACACTGTTTTGGCTCTGTAGTTTTGCTTTCTGACTTGGCTGTGTGCACTGATGTAACTGAAATTTTACCGTAATCTGATACTAATAAGTATTCCCAGGCTTAAAGGGTTTTTATGCAAGAAAGATTGTTTGTCTTCATTTTTGGAGGGTCTGCAACTGATTATAGCACATTCTTTTACTTCATAGAACACAGGCAAGAGAAAGTTGGAAAGTACTTTCTCCCTAAATTTAAATTATAAAATAATATTGAAAACAGTGCATATGTAGAAATTGGAAATTGATTAGTTCCACGCAGTTGAAAACAAATGAAAAGGCCAGACATTTTTTTACACTTACATTCCTGATAGTGTTTAAGTAGGATCAGTCCTGCTGATTGTGCAGCCTGAGCTTCTGCTTATTTTTGTGTGGGAGCTGCAGCAAAGAACTCTTTGAAGATTGGTTACTAGTATTAATGTTTCTCACTTATCTTTCCAAGGAGCAGGTTTTGCTGCATTTGGACAGGCAAAGCCTGTAGTAACTCCTTTTGGACAAGTTGCAGCTGTTGGAGTATCTAGTAACCCTTTTATGGTAAGTGAGTTGTTGCATATTAATAACTTCTGTATGTCTGAAGAGCCATAGTCTGTAATGCTTAATTTAGAGACACAAGGATATTTTTTTCATCAAATAAGGGAAGGCAACATATGAATCTCCTAAATACAATTCAGTGTTACAATGACATGGCATTTGTAAGACTGTTCAAATCAAAACAGAGATACTTGTATACCATGCTCTTACAGTAGTTTAATTTCAGCGAATCACAAAAAAGACTACAACATAAACCAGAAATATTTCCTAAGAGGTTGTTTTCTTTTTTATATATCCTGCATTTATGATTTACAATGTGGGAAAAAAAAATCTTATGTCTTTTCTTCTTTCATTTTCCCCCAGGCTAGTGCACCAACAGGACAATTTCCAACAGGAAGCTCATCAACCAATCCTTTCTTATAGCCTTATAGACACTTTACCCAAAAGAACTCTTATGTGGTCACATAACATCTCTGCGCCTCTTGCACTGTTGTCTTGTTTCACTGATATTAGCTTTAAACACAAAGAAGTCTTTAAGAAGTAAAAATAAAAGCCTGCATTGTATACCTTTAAAGAAAAATACACACAACCCAAGAAAATCAACTCCCCCACCAGGTAATAACGTGCAAAACAGAGGGCTCTGGTAACATCCTTGAACCTGTGAACTGGCAGGTAAAAAGTAGCGGTATCATGTATATTAAAATTGGCTAATAAGTTATTGCAGATACCACACTCATTATGCTGCAGTACTGTACATATTTTTCTTAGAAAATAGCTATTTGTGCATATCAGTATTTGTAACTTTAACACACTGTTATGTGAAAATGTTACCGGGAAATAGATCAGCCACTTTAAGGTGCTGTTGTATCTCTTGGAATGAATGAGCTACATCATTTTAACCATTGGTATTGGAAGTCATGAAGTTAAATTGAAGGTTTGTTCATTTCTCAAAATGTTTTCCTTTCCTAAGAGCTCTTCTATTTATACATGCCTAAATCTCTAATGTTAGAGGGTTACCTGTCTGCATAATAAAGCTGATCATGTTTTGCTACAGTTTGCAGGTGAAAAAAATAAATATTAGAAAAAACAATTGTGTAGCATGGTTTCTGTGCAGTAACATTTTATTGGGTTAGAATGTACATATTATGAGTCTCAAACAGATGAGTTATTAAAAGCAGTATGCTTAAAGGTGAGTTAAGCTTTAAAATTTTCACATGCCTCACTTGGGTGTGTTTCTTTGTGACCTTGTGATTAAGCTTGCTGTACCAGCTCAAGTGAAGTGATCTATTGCAGGAAAATGGTAGGTGAACTTGGATTATTTTGACGGAATCACTGTGTAATGAAGGACTCTGGAAGCACTGAGGAGGGTAGTTACTTGAGAAATGGTTAGCTGCAAAAGATGTGTAGTTATGGGTAGTTAATGACAGTCTTTGAACAAGACTTAGTTGTGATCAGAACAGTTTGTGTAATAGCAGGCCAAGGTACCACAGATGTAATAGCACTCTTTTTATTAAATATTGATATATATATATATTAGTGAGATCTGTGGAATAATAAATTCATTGATTTTTATTTAATAGAATGTTTCCTGCCATACTAGATTGGAACTTGTAGAAGGGAAAAAATGTCTGGCTTGTCCAGTCTGTAACAGTGAGAAGGTTCAAGAAAAATACAATTCTGCATCAGAATAGTTGGTGATGGTGTTTTAAACAGAGGTAACTTGGCTCAAGTTCAAGTGTAATACTGGAACTAAGCAGATAATGTAAATATGTAATGAATACATAAACTGCAAGCTTAAAAGCTTTCTGACCAGCTGGAGAGCAAAATTCTAATGGCTTTCAAGATAACAGGAATAAATAAGATGAGATTATCTTTTGAGAAAAGGATGTGGAATCCCATTTAAGACAAATACAAAAATTCTTGAAGGTAAGAAATGTCAGTTGTAATTGACTGCCTGAATGTTAGATCTGCTTATTCCTAGGGAAGCTGAAAGACTTGGCTGCTGTTTGTAAAAGCACTCATGCCAGTGACTTCTGTTGCCTGCCTATGGGGGAATAGTAATTTCTGTATCTTTATTTTTTTTAAGCTTTGGTGGTTCCAAAGGAGGGGACAGGCAGCTTCTAACAACAGGCTGCTTATACGTTCCTTGCTTAAATGCCTGGTTTTGTCCTGTTGGCATATTTAAAGTTAAAAGAGATTTGAAGTCCGTCTCTTCCTTCTGATGAGGACTGCTGGATAGAGTATGGTGTATAGTTTAATTCCCAAGATTCTCTGGGAAGTTCACTTAACACATCCATCCCCAGCAGTTGAGGATTTCCAGGATGTTAATGATGCCCTTGCTCTCACCACTATTTTTTAGCATAGTATAAATAGCTGTAGTTCTCTGTTGTTGACCTTACCTGTTTTGGGATAGTAACACATAATTGCAGTAGAGAGTGGGAAACTGCAAGGGTTCAGAAGGAGTTGTGGAACACTGAATATGCTTATTGCAGGCAGCTGGACCAAATCAACCAAATGTCTCATCTGTGAGATGAACAGCCTTATGGAAAGGGAACAGTCCTGTGTTCTATTCACCTAAATTGATGTAAATTAAGCTGTGGGCAAGGGCTAATGAGATCAGCATCTGTTGAAATTGTTGTGATCCAAGAGAAGTAGCTGAAGATCTTGTTTTGAGATTCCTTTATATTGAGCAGAAACTGACACAATAGCTGTTTTGTTGATTAGATTTTTTAAAAGCTGTATTTACAAAATTAATTCTTCACCCATGCTTAGAATTTTTTTTGTCTTGGAAATCTCTGCAGTTTTTCATGTAATTGCTCCTGCAACTGGCATAGTTGCCAAAAGGCTATACTTCCACTAGCTTTTCAGCATCCTCTTCTGCTTTAGCATCAAAGCACTTCACTTGGTAACTTTAGCCCTCTTATACAGAAATTAATTTGGAGACCTTCTAGATTAATACTTTTGATCCTAATATGTCAGCTCTTGTATGTGTAAGAAGATGCTGTAAGAGGTACATCCGGAGTTCTACAAGGCAGATGTCTGGGTACTGCAGTTAAAAGTTATTTAATGGATGCAAACTCCCCAGTTCTGTGTTAAAACAAATGCTGAGGCAAGAAATTAATTGGAAAAGGACCAGATTTAGTTGGAGTTCCTGAAAGAAACTATAAATATGATGCCAGTATTCTGCTCTCTTGAAGGGAAAGCTTACTGGGACATAAAGGCAAGCTCAAGTGGCTTTTAAAAGTGTGCTTTTAAAGGAATTAATGTTTTTTACTTTCTTGTGAGCTGAATTGGAGGGCCATCAGTTACTTCTGACTCTTAGCAACTCTGTAAGTTGTGGTAAAGGAACACAGTGGAATTTGCTGCTGTCTGATATAGTTGACTCCAAAGTGGACATTATTGAACACAGTTGAAAGAACATTCCCCCATTAGCTTTAGTTACATCTAAACTTTTAGTTGTATTATTTAAGTCAGGCTGCCTTGTATAGAAATGGGAGTGCCTCCCCATGGCTTAAAAATAAGAAGTTAGTTTAGGAGTGTGTTTGCCTCCAAAGATAAGTGTGTATGGGTCATGACAGTTGTCGGACATAATGAATGCATCTGCTTATCAAGACAGACACAAGGGAAGGTTAGTGTGTTGTGTTTGTACATCTTCAACAAACTCACAGTGAAGCTGTCAGTGCATCAGCAGCAGTTTCTGTGTGTAATGACATGTTTTCCTTACTGTCAAGTAAAACATCAAAGGTTGTGTTCTGTAAGCTCTTCTGTTGTGAGGTTCAGGCATCTGTATGCACTTGCTGCTTGTGCTCATTGAGCATTAATAGAAGTTTTGGTGTTGGATCAGTAAATTTGAGTATAAATAGAAGACTGAGGGTTGTTTGGTATTAAACTACTCGTGAAGAAAATGAACAAAATGCATCATTCTGTTGACAAAGCTTTTTATGCTGTAGGCTAACGAACAGCCCGTTTCACCATTGACCACTTGTGTTTGATTGAGCTTCATGTTTCTCCTAATTCATTGTTCAGATGATGCTGTCTTCTGCACTGTTGCTTGCAACCGTTCTTTTTTGTCTGTTAATGATCAATGCTTTCACCAGCCACACTGGTATGTCTGCATTTGATGGAGGTAATGGTGTATATGCTTCTGATCAGAAAAATTCCAGCTATGACTGTAAAGTAGCTGCCATAAATGAGAAACTGGGAAATGGAGATGGGAAAGAAGAATGAAGAAGAGTCAAAAATGCCTTTACTGTTAGTTAATAACTTAAGGGGTGTCTCTCCACTGCTGCCTTCCCTGTCACCCATATCCTAGAAGGATCCCATCCTGGCTGCTTGACTTCTTACTGTAGGAAGTCTGCGGCTGTAAAAGGAGGGGGAGAGAATACTCTGTTACGTGCTTCCCCTCCCCACCTCGGTAAGGGAGGAGGACAGCTGCCCTGTACTTTCTGGCTCTTTGCTGAAAAGATGAAAGCTGGAGACTTGGACCTCATTCAATATATAAGTTTAAAGTTTAGATTTACAAATTTAATAGGGAATAATGAGATCAGTTAATTTTCAGAATTACATTAATTAAAGGTGCATCCAGTGAGACTATAATTTAGAATTATTCTAGTAGTAGACCCATAGATTGTCTTTCAGATTGCTTCCTGCTTCTGTTCAGGGTATTCTGGCAATAAGTCTTTAAATAAAAAAAAAAAACCAAACAAACAAAACCCCCAAAAAACAAACCCTGAGTAATAGGTCATGGTCTTTCCCTTCTGCTCTATGAAAATATTATTAAAATTATTGCAGAAATTAAAAATTGGTATGACTAGAGGAGAAGTAGGTTGTAGCAGCTACTGTCAGTTCACTTAAAGTGAACCTGTTTTTCAAGTAAGTGTCCTAAACTAGTATATCACCTAGTATCTTCCCAAGGCTAATCTTGGAGTAGAACCTTCTTTTGAAGGAGGCTAGGGGAGCTGAGAGCACTGTGGGTAAGGTGTCTTACCTGGGTGCTGATATCCAGGCCCAGACCTTTTGAATCTACTACAACAACAGTTAAAATTGTCTGAATTAGCAGTGCAACGAAGTTGTTGAAGCCAAACATCAAAGCATAACGCTCCATGCTTAGATTGACAGCAATCTGAAACCTGAAAATGAATGTACAGGTTCACTATGGAGAACAAGGACGTTGTATGGGAAGAAGCTTGGGAAGAACCTGCAGTTTGATGTGGCTGGCAGTAAACCCCATGCAGCCACTTGCTCACCCTCCTGCCTCCCAGGCATGGGGGACAGAATTAAAGGGGTTGAGATAAGAACAATTTAGTTACTAAACAACAATAAAATTGGAAATGATAATAAAGATTAATGTATACAAATGTGTGATACACAGTGATCACATCTGATGACCAAGGCTCAGCATGTTCTTGGGTAACAATCCCAGAGCAGAGAAAATCCCAGAAAAGAGATGAGCCTGAGCATCTGCGGGAGTGGGAGACGATCCTGAAGGGGGTGGATGGACTTCCAGACAGAGCCTTGTCTATGTACTGGGCATGTTGTGCATGATCTGGAACAGACCATTGGCCAATTTGGGTCTCAGTCCTAAACCTGAGATTTTGGACTAGCCTAGGTTTGAATCCTTGGCTAGTAACTGGGGCTGTGCTCCCTCCTAGCTTCTCCTGCCCCTGCAGACACTGGCACAGCAGAGAACCTGAAAAGTCCTCAACTGTCCTGGCAGCAGCTCTAAACATCAGTGTGTGATCAGCCGCCTTCTCAGCACAAATCCAAACACAGCCTCACACCAGCTACTATGAAGAAAGTTAACTCTGTCCCAGATGAAACCGGGGATTGTGGGTTCTTCAAAGGATGAAGCCTCTTCAGTCCTTGGCTGTTAAGCTTGAACATCCTCATTTTGGCAGAAATACTTTTTTTTTTTTTTTCCTGGCTTTGGCACTTCTGTGGAGCCTACTTCTCCTTTACTTATTTGAGTGGATATTTTTGCTAAATAAAGACCTCTAAATGATCAAATGAACATACAGAGAATACTTGTACATAGATCATTGAACAGCTAAATGCAGAATAAGGTAGTTTCAGACTTGGAGTAACCTATT